CCAGGGGAGGTTTAGATTAGACATGAGGAAAAATGTCTTTACTGAAAGAGTGGTGAAACATTGGAACAGGCTGCCCAGGGAAGTGGTGGAGTCCCCATCCCTGGAGGTATTTAAAAGACGTGTAGATGAGGCGCTTAGGGACATGGTTTAGTGGGCATGGTGGTGTTGGGTTGACGGTTGGACTCGATGATCTTAGAGGTCCTTTCCAACCTCAATGATTCTATGATTCTATGATTCTATGATTCTAAGGGTCTCACTTTCTTGCACCTGTAAGGTCTCTCCTCATGACAGCTGTACAGAGTCACAGATGCTGGCAGACAGATGAAGAACGTAGTTTTGGTCATTTTTCTTGTATACAATAACACACCCTATGTTTATAACCCTTTTTTTATTGGGAAGCACTTCTCCAAGAGGGTCTGGATGTCCCCCCTCCCCCCCCCCCCCCCCCCCCCGCGCCGGGTGGGGGCGAGGGAGAGGCCGTGAGAGAAATGCTGCCCTTGGCGCGAGGGAGGCCGCGCCCTGCCCCAAGGGGGTCTGGATTCCCCCCCCCCCCCCCCCCCGCCCCATAGTGAGGGAAGGTGGCACAAAGTCTTGGACGAGGACTGTCTTTTTGTTTTATGTTCAAGCATATTTAAGTTCAAGTCCAAGTTTATGCCAAAGTCCAAGGATCTGAGCAACAGCTCCTGCCTGCTCCTGCCATCTGCCGAGAATAACTAACTCTCCCTTACCATCACTGTTAAGGAGGTACAAGGGGAGATGGCCAAGGAAAAAGCAACAAGAGTTCCAGTATCAAATGTAACAAACACAGGTTTTTCTCAACTCCAAAAACTCATTGCTCCAGCTGTAAGAATTTGCCGCTTCGTAATTTCCTTGGACTTCAATGAATCCAAAGAAAGAAAGAAGAGCAGTTACAAAAATTGGATGCAGGAGATCATAGCAGATGGACAACTTGCACTGAGTGCCTGTGGATTTTATAATGCTACTTATAGGATAATAAGAGCACTATTTGACTGACAGAAGA